ATGAAGAGTGTATACAAAAGTCTCAAATACAATACCAAATGAAAGATGAAATACATAGTTTCAAACCAAATGAAACTAAAAAAAAGGCAAACACATAGATAGTCAAACATAGTTTTTCAACCAAAATAAAAAAAATCTAAACCAACGAAAATTTGTCTTCAGAAGTTTGGAGATTGGGATGACCCGGAACACAGATGGAGGCCTTTGCTCGAGATACTGATTCATAAACATGTTCAACAATTGTTGTTGAACCCTTATCATTTCTTCTTGTCTTCCTTCTATGCTATCAATGCGATCAACCAATCTATCCTTCATGCTCTCAATCCGGTCAACTTAATAATTTAGTAGCCGGAATACTAAATGGGTTGGAATTTGAAGCACGAGGAGGACGAGAGTGAGTCTTAGAGCTAGAGGGACAAGAAGATGATTCACCAACTGGAGGAGCTACAGGAGCTTGAGGATCGGAAAGAGATTCTGGTAGCTTCATCCTAGAGAGACTAATGCGGTCAAATATTTCATGAATACGCTTGATACAAGGTTTGTCGGTGAGATCAATGTTAAAGTGAGTGAATACCCTAGTGAGAAGAGCAACAAAAGGTAGAAATCTTGTGTGATTACAAGCCATGGCATCAAAGATCACTTCCCCCATTTAATACTAAGATTCCCAAGGATAGCATATACATCACACATCAACTCATGAGAAAAATGATCATAACTCCCAGCTTTAGAAATTATATTATATGAAATGATTCGAGCAATAAGTTTGGCAAGGGGAGTGATTGAGCTATTTGACATAGGATAATCTTTTCCTAGAAGAAATATGAATGAATTTATAGCAGGATCATAAAGATCTATCTCTTCTAGTAAAAGATTTCCCTGAGGAATGTTAAGAATGTCGGCTAATTCACCACAAGAGAAATTTATGTGACAATTCTTAACATAGGACCTAAGAATGGAGGTTCCATCATCAGTACAAACAAGTTGCATATAAGTGTAAAATAGATAAACAAGATTTGGATAATATGGGACTGAATTTGAATGAGCGATTAAATCATGCAACTTAGCATGGTCAAAATAAGTGTGCAGCTGATAACTGGCAAAGTCAGAAAAATTTACGAATCTACCTGGAAAGATAGTTAATTGACAAATATTACGATATTTATCAATAAGCATAGGATTACGAAGATAGCGTTCGTAATGTGTAATTTGGGTAGCTGAATTTTCGGATCTACCGAATCTAGGACGTTTAGGGTTTGTCATACTGCGAGATAAAGATCCTAGACAATTCTAGATTAAGAAACGAACTGAAATAGAGAGGATAAGGATTTTAGTAAGCAAGAGATGTTGATTGAAAGAGACTAGAGCAAGACAGCAGTAAGAATCTCTCAGCAGGAGCTGATTGGTCGATTGGGCGATCACGTCGGTCGGCTAGTCGAAATTCGGCAACAGAAATCTGGAAGGGAGTCGACTGGTTTGGATTGAAGGTTAGGGTTGGGTTTGCTCATATACATATAGGAATTTGAAGGTCAGGATTGGTTCCAATAAGAAATCAATGGATAGGATTAAAAGATGTTGTAAACGGGTATAAAATGGGTCGGGTTCTGAAGACAAAAAAACCAATAAGAAGACTCAGGAAAATTCACTGGTTAGTCGACTGATCTTGTGATCGGTTGACTGAGTATCAGACATCTGTCGACCGATGAAAATGTTCAGTCGACTGATGACAACCAGAATCCATATGCATTTAAACATGAACCATGATTGAAAATATTAAAAACACCATTTATATTATATTCAAAAATGAATATATATATATATATATATATATATATATATATATATATATAAAGTTTTTTTCTAAATATGATGAAAATATATTCTTTTAAATTTTTGTAAAAATATTCACAATTTGTTTACAAAAAAAATCTAAACAAAAATCATCTTTTAAAAGCATGAAAAACAAAAATGCTAAAATTTGTTCTTTGAAATCAAACATATTTTGGCACCCAAACACTATTGGTGCTGAAGAGTTTAGGGTCATGACCCCTATCAATATAATCCAAGGCCCTTGGGTTATGATCCTATTTGGGCGCATTTTGTGCACGGATCCGATCATAGCAAAAATCACACAAATGACTCATCCTATTGCAATAGGTGCAATGGAATGAATGCATTTATTTTTCTTGACCTTTTAATTGTGCACAAGAATCTTTTTTAAACAAACGTGGTTTTTTGAAACATTTTACAAATTGAAACTTTTCGCAAGTCAAAACAAAATTTTACCAAATGTCCAAATCTACCACAAAAATAACATTTAAACATATCATCATGCTTACGATGAATAATGGGTGCATGAGTGTGTATACAAGATGAAGAAACTTGATGAGATGTACAATGAGCAATAATATTGGAATTTGTGGGTTTTTGTGCATCATAGCAAAATTTAGCAATATGATCGTTACGATCGCAAATAGAGCACTTGTAAATTTTATCATACATGTGTGCATAGCGTACGGGTGGTTTGGAAGAATTTGCACGTGACTTTGCACACAAGTCTATAAATTTTTTATTATTGTCAACGCATGTGTTTAAGGATGAATCTAAAGAAGATATACGGTTTTTCATATGATTCAACTCATTATTTGGCATAGTAACATTGACAATATAATTAGAGCAAATATGATTATTCTTAAATGAATTAAATTTATTTCTAATGGTTTCCACTTCTAGCGTGTCATTATTTTTATTATAAGATAAGCTAGCAATATTCAATTTTAATTTATCATTATTTTGTTTAAGATTCACATTTTCTTTAGCAATGATATCAAATTTAGATGCTAGCAAATCATGATCGGATTTTAATTCAATATGCTTGCTTTTAAAATTTACAAAATTATGATGCATTTTGTTGTATGCATTCAATAATTTTTCATATGTATATGCGAGCTTATCTATAGAAAGTTCATTTTTAGATTTGGACTCGCATATCTTACTAGGACAATCGCCTAGTGGTCGTGTGCATTATAACGCTCCAATCTTACTTGAAGCGGAATCCACCGAAATGCGTTGAATTTCCTTCAAGTTGCCGTGATGTGCCTCTATATGTTTTCAGAATGAGTAGGCACTATAAAAAAAACAAGTTTGTTAGATTTAGATGGATCAAAAGCACTAAGGAAAATTTTTAATAAGAGCTTGTTCAAAATAAACATCCTCTTATCATTATTACTCCATTTGGATTTCTCTAACGTGGGCACAACATAAGCACAACCAATTACTCCCATAAATCGATATGTTTAGATCTAACAAATAATTTAAATCTAAACATCCATTGAACAAAAGGGAAAATATTGAATGAAAGAGCAAATATCTATGGCACACCATGTATATCCATGATGATAATGCAAACAAGAAAAATCACAAAACTAGATTAGCAAAATATAATAGCGAGCATCTTTGACTCTAGGCGATTAAGCCACGAATTAAGAGCACCAGGCTTTGATATCAAATAAAAGTACCTTAGAGGGGGGGGGAGGGGGTGAATAGGGTAATAGTTAATCTAATCCGATTTCGATGCTAAATTAAAAACTTATAATGCAATATCCTAGCAATATGATATACAATAAGATATGTAAGGATAAGTAAGAGACAATAGGCGATATAAACAAGAACAAAATATGAGAGAAATAGTGCGCTAAAGAAACAATTGCAAACACACAATATGATCACGGAGTTCGGTCTAACACTCGATCTACGTATCTGCTCCTCACCTCGAGGAGATCTCCACTATCACTCAAAAATAACTACACAATAATGGTTTTCAAAGATCACCGAAAACTTTTACAATACACACGTTGTCAATCACATAAGCCACATTCCTAAGTGTTAGACTACTCGTGTTACCTTCCTCAAGTGTTCGGATTTACAACATCTCCCTAGGCTTTACTACTAACACACTCATCTTGGAATTAACCCCGGTCTCTCTCCAACCACTCCTCTAAGTGTCCTTATGTATTACAACGTGTTCAACGATAAGTTCAAATAAAGATTTTGTTCTCTAAACAAGTGAGAACGAATTTGTAAGCTCATTCAATGAAACAAACTCATAACCCAAATATATATTATGTGAAATACTAAAGCTCAAGTGGTTGTGTGTGTAAACAATGAGTAAAATAAAATCAAACTCAATTAAATCTAGTTTATATATGATAATCAAAATATAGATTATCTAAAGAATGAGTTTAGAAAACTTCTCAAAAACAAAGAGATGTAGATATAGAGATTTGAGGTTGAACGCCTCAAAACCGAAATTAAGATCATTCTTTTTGTAAAACTCTTTTTCACATAAACACACTTAAACTTTCTCAAAAACTCAGACCACAAATGGCCAAAACAAACTTATGAAACTCCTTAGTGAAAAACTAAGTCTTGAGGGCTATTTATAACCTCTCAACCAAAGCTGCCAAAAACTAGTTGTTACAGCAAAAATGACTGATCAATCGACTGGTTGAATATATCGGTCGACTGATAAACTAGCCGTTACTATAAAGAAAACAGACAGCCATGGTCGCTTGAAAAGAAAAATCAGTTGACTGAAAACATTGTTCGGTCGACTGACACAAATGGTTGGTCAACTGATAGACTAAAAAAGAAATGCTGTAAAAACTCGTTCTGGCAAGTCGACTGAGAAACAAAATCGGTTGACTGATTAAGGCAGCCGGTCGATTGAAAACTGATACACAGATTTTTGACTTTTGAAGAGCTGATTTCTAAATTCAATTTAAAATAGTGAAACAACTTCAAAAATAGTAAAGCATGGGGCAACGTTTATACTTGTGAAAATAAACACGTTAGAAAAGAATTTTTTTTTTAAATATCACTCCCCAATTGTAAAAACTCATTATTTTGCAATTTTTTCAAAAGATACGAAATCTTTAAATATGATTTCATCTATTTACAGAATCAACAAAGATACGAAATCGTTAAACACATGATTCTGATGAAATTATTTTAAACAATTTATCTTCCTAATGCGATAAATATGAAACAAATGTGTATGTATATAAATGTATCTATTTGTTTCATATTTATATGACTAAACTTGAAAGCGATAAAACGAAACGTGTATGTGTATGATTTGAGCTTTAAGTATAAACACATAAAGTAAAAGACCTAAACTATAAACAATATACCCAAGCTAAAAGTCTTCATTTGAGCTCGATGTTGGACGATCCTCAGCTTGGTAGTAAGGATGAAGCACGATCTCATTTGACTTAAATTGCGATGACTTCATTTCAATTTTCGCCAACCTCCATGAGTATCATCGTTAGCGCTCAATTCCAACCAACCTCCAACAGGATGTCATCGTTAAGTGCAAGTCCAACCAACCTCCAACAGAGGATGTTTGTGTAGGATACCTAACAAGCAAAAGCAAATAGTCGAAAAGCGATGTTAGGAATTGTTTGTTAATCATCAAAACCAGATTAGACAATAGGCTCATAAACATGAAACATAACAAATAATTTGCTTGATATAACAACAATAATTGATGCAGGTTCCTCTTGTAGCTTCAAATCGAATTGGAAAGGAGACAATCAAGACAGAACACGGGGACAGTGTAATTACATTTTATGGGAATTCCTTTATAGCAGGTACTTTAATCCCTCATAAACACACTTAAACTTTCTCAAAAACTCAGACCACAAATGGCCAAAACAAACTTATGAAACTCCTTAGTGAAAAACTAAGTCTTGAGGGCTATTTATAACCTCTCAACCAAAGCTGCCAAAAACTAGTTGTTACAGCAAAAATGACTGATCAATCGACTGGTTGAATATATCGGTCGACTGATAAACTAGCCGTTACTATAAAGAAAACAGACAGCCATGGTCGCTTGAAAAGAAAAATCAGTTGACTGAAAACATTGTTCGGTCGACTGACACAAATGGTTGGTCAACTGATAGACTAAAAAAGAAATGCTGTAAAAACTCGTTCTGGCAAGTCGACTGAGAAACAAAATCGGTTGACTGATTAAGGCAGCCGGTCGATTGAAAACTGATACACAGATTTTTGACTTTTGAAGAGCTGATTTCTAAATTCAATTTAAAATAGTGAAACAACTTCAAAAATAGTAAAGCATGGGGCAACGTTTATACTTGTGAAAATAAACACGTTAGAAAAGAATTTTTTTTTTAAATATCACTCCCCAATTGTAAAAACTCATTATTTTGCAATTTTTTCAAAAGATACGAAATCTTTAAATATGATTTCATCTATTTACAGAATCAACAAAGATACGAAATCGTTAAACACATGATTCTGATGAAATTATTTTAAACAATTTATCTTCCTAATGCGATAAATATGAAACAAATGTGTATGTATATAAATGTATCTATTTGTTTCATATTTATATGACTAAACTTGAAAGCGATAAAACGAAACGTGTATGTGTATGATTTGAGCTTTAAGTATAAACACATAAAGTAAAAGACCTAAACTATAAACAATATACCCAAGCTAAAAGTCTTCATTTGAGCTCGATGTTGGACGATCCTCAGCTTGGTAGTAAGGATGAAGCACGATCTCATTTGACTTAAATTGCGATGACTTCATTTCAATTTTCGCCAACCTCCATGAGTATCATCGTTAGCGCTCAATTCCAACCAACCTCCAACAGGATGTCATCGTTAAGTGCAAGTCCAACCAACCTCCAACAGAGGATGTTTGTGTAGGATACCTAACAAGCAAAAGCAAATAGTCGAAAAGCGATGTTAGGAATTGTTTGTTAATCATCAAAACCAGATTAGACAATAGGCTCATAAACATGAAACATAACAAATAATTTGCTTGATATAACAACAATAATTGATGCAGGTTCCTCTTGTAGCTTCAAATCGAATTGGAAAGGAGACAATCAAGACAGAACACGGGGACAGTGTAATTACATTTTATGGGAATTCCTTTATAGCAGGTACTTTAATCCCTGTTTTAATTTTTTTAACCAAATGCAACTTCTTCTTCTTCTTCTTATTTTTATTGTTATTTAAAAAATATTTGGGCTCAAATGTACCTGCAACTTCTTGTTTGCTTACATCACGCCTCAAAGATGACACTGGGTAGGACTGCTAACAGGTTCGAGAAGCTCTGAGGCCCAACTTGATAATAAGAACTCGTGTAAGCTTGTTCCATAACTTAAATGAACCAAGCTTGAAAAAATATCGGTTTGCTAAAAACAAACGATGAAGCTTGAACACAAGTAAGGTTGCTTAGCTTGTCAAGATGGCGATAAATTGAAATTGGGCTTTTATTTTGATTAATATTTATATAATCAGATGTTTCAGTGTCATGACAACCAATCCTTGCCATGGGAAGAGTTGTACCTAACAAATAAAATTACCTTTATCATTTTGAATATATTTCCCCACTTCAAAATTTGTTGTCATTCTTTCTCTGCTGTCGTCAATAGTTTATTTACGTCATCTCTACATTTCCAAATTATTCAATAGCTTGAATAGAAAATTCTGGTGATGCTTTCTTTACTTGAGGGTGAATTTTGTTTTTACTTTTGGTTGCAAGGAAAGGCAATGTATAATTTTAGTATATATTCAGACCTTTTACTCAGTGCTATGAATTCCTAATTTTTAGTTTAATATAAAAGATTTAAAATTCATATTAATTTCGCATTCAAGGGTTTGATTGCACATGTGCTCCAAAAGCTCAAGTTTTAGCTCAAGCTGGTTTGATATATACTAGAAAACCAAGCTTGAACACCATCTGGAGCTCATGAAAATAATTGAACAAACATGAACAATCTAAATCTTGGCTCCTTAATTTCATGAACTCAATAGGTCAAAGAGCTTAAGCTACAAGTGAGTAGGTTTAGTTCACTATTTGTCTGATCTCTCTTTTACCAGGTCCAAAAGGAGAAATTGTTGCTCTCGCCAACGATAAAGATGAAGATATCTTGACTGCTGAGTTCAGCCTGGATGAGCTCAAATCTCAGAGACTCAGTTGGGGCGTGTTTCGTGATCGACGTCCAGACCTGTACAAGGTTCTTTTGACTTTGGATGGCGGCAATCTTCCATCATAAGCCTCAATTATTTTCATAGTTTTCATGTGGTTGCCTCTTGTTGAAGTTTATTACGTGTAGAAATAATAAGTTGCCTCTGCTTTGATACAACCTGCAGAGATATGAATGGTTATCTTTTACCGATACATTCTTAAATTTTTTTTAATAATAATATATTTATTTTTGGATGTTGTCAAAACAAAAATAGACGAGGTGGTCTAAAAGCTTGGAGGTTGAATTTGAGCCTTTTTCCCCCTTCTTGACAACACTTTTATGGGGTTAATTGCGGAGGCACACCATGTACTGTTGTCCAACTGGGGAAAGGCCCTTCTATTGTTGTAGATAGACCCCTTGAGGGATTGTTTTATTTTTTTTCGTCTCTTACCCTTAGGAAGAGAATATTGTGTTTTCCCCACGAATAAATAGTCCAAAAAAAGAAAAACCTTTTTGGGGTCAATCTATAACAATAGAACTACAAAGATCCATCTGCAGTCGGGGGATAGCACAAGGGGTCTATTTACAATTAATCCTTCCTTTTTTTTAATACAGTACTGCAGATTCCAGTCCTTTCTCCATCCTTTTTTTTTGGGTCCCCTTTGCTGCCTTTTAATCTTCATTAAACTGACACAGTGCCTGAACAATATTTTGCTCGTGCATATGCGTTCAACTACAATTTGGGACAAGTATCATGTACAATAAACGACTTGTGATATTACATATATAATTTGCAAACTTTTCACAAGCGAACCATCAAGAAATCCAGTACAACAAGAGTAGTAAGAAAGCAGAGTGCATACAGTCTGAATATCAGTGAGAAGTAGCGGGATAAACGCAGCCAAGAGCGAGATGATCACCCACGGATTCTTCAGATAAGTATACACAATATCCGCACGCTACTTATGCCACCTTGTACTGCAATAATCGTTCAGTTCTTTGGTGACGTCCACTCCATCCTCGCGACGCTCCTGCCTAACCTTAACCTGCTTTGTAAAGCCATTGAAGAGGTTGGCAACATCCTCGTCGCTTCCCACCCCTATCTTCACTTTCCCGTTCTCTCTAAGCAGTGCAGTGTCTTTGGATGTGTTCACAATCCCATCCATGAAGAACATGTAGGCAGTCACCTCTTGTCCTGCACCGTGAAGCTGCTCGAAAGCTATAAGATTACGAAGCATAGTCTCAAATCTGTCATTGATCTTGACATAAGGGAGTCTGAGAACGCCCCTGCTAAAAGCTAATGTCGTTGAAACTTCTGCTTTCGCTGCAATTGAATTCGACCCCTGCCTCGTGGAGCTCTGTTGCAGACCAGGTGTGGGGAGTACCACTAAACTGGTAGTCTCCGTGAAGGAGCAAGGCTTTCCTGTAAACATCAAGCAAGTGAAGAGCAGCAAGGTCTTGGGTAGTGTTAAATCGGTGAACTTCAGAGCTCGGGCTACACAGCTCCAAGATGAGACCAGGGATGTTTTCAATTTGATTAAAACATTTTCACAATTAATTACTCATGGAAATGACACATGAAGTTGAACATATGTCGAACAAATACCTGAAGGCCAGAGAACCAAGCCAAGGTAGACAGAGCATGTAAAGGCTACTGGTTTTGAAGCTTAAGCATGTCAATCCAGATCTCCATCATCGCATATGGCTTACTGAAGACCGGATCCTTTTTCATCATATCGCTTAAATGACAACTCCAACTCTCTATCTTTTCTGTCGTCATCATTGAAGGACTCTTGCTTGCTAATTTTTCCAAGCATAAGTACCTCTGCCACGAAACAACCATCAAGCATCATAACTCTAAGAACTTATTCTCATTCCCCACTCCATTGTTTGTCTAAGCGATCATATGAATCCATTGTTAGAAACAGAGCAAATCAAGAGAAAAAAAGATGTATGTATTCATTGGTATTGTGATCTATATATACAATGTGAGTAGCATTGTTCTATTACTCTACCTGATGTGGGACTAAACGAAAGAGGCTATCTATGCAATATTTAACACCCCCCTCAAACTGCAGTTGGACTAACCAAAGATAGTTTGCCAAAAAGAAATAGATGTCGTTGTATTGTGTGAGTTTTGGTGAATAGATCTACTAGTTGAAGGTCAGTATTGTCATAGGGGAGAGAGATTGTGCCAGTCAAGAGATGATGACGAGTGAAATGACAGTCAATATCTATGTGCTTCGTGCATTGGTGAAAGACAAGATTGCTGCCTATTTTGATGGCGCTCATGTTGTCGCAATGAAGTGGGGTGGCTGTTGTGGGAGACACACCCATGGCGCTCATGTTGTAGATGTCATAGCGCGATTTTCTAATTCCGCACTAGAGCGAGAGACAACATCCTATTTCTTAGATTCCCAAGATATGAGAGAGTCACCTAGGAAGATACAATAGCCAATGGTAGATCTACGATCGGTGGTGTCGCCTGCCCAGTCGAATCATTATAGCCACGAAGGATGAGTGATGATGATGCTGAGAAGAATAGTGTTCTGTATGTTGTCTCACGAATGTAGCGTAGAACACGAAGCAATGCTGATTGATGAGGAGAGGTGCTACGACAAATTGATTGAGGACATGAACTGCATGAGGGATGTCAGGTCTGGTGATAGTGAGGTAGACCAAGCTTCCTACAATATGTCGATATTTAGTTGCATCAGAGAGAGGATCACCATCAGTGGTGTTGAGTTTGACATTCAGTTCGAGAGGTGTTCGAGTTGGTTTGGAATCTCTTATGCCTGCACAATTGATGATGTCGATAGCAAATTTCTGTTGAGACAGGTGGTAGCCATGTGGTGTTTGAGTGATCTTCAGTCTGAGGAAGTAATGTCGATTACCTAGGTCTTTCATTTCAAATTCTTGTTGGAGGTGAGACTTTATATGGTTGATAGTCGATCGATCGTCACCAGTAATGATCATGTCATCAACATAAAGGTAGAGGATGGTGCGTTGGTCGTTGGAGCAGGAGATGAACATTGTTGGACTATTTTCACTTGTAAGAAAGCAAGCCAGTTGCATAACCTATGTGAATCGGGCGAACCATGCATTGGGTGCATGTTTGAGGCCATAGAGAGCTCGACGAAGGTGAAAGACGAGACTTTGGAGTGAGGGAGTCCAGGTGGCGGAGTCCTATAGATATCCTCAGTGATGTTGTCATGCAGAAAGGCATTTTTGATATCCATTTGATATAATGACCATTTTCGGGAAGCGACAACAGCGAGCAATGTTCAAATAGTAGTCATTTTGGCAACTGGTGCAGAGGTCTCCTCATAGTCCACCACATATTGTTGTGTAAAACCTCGAGCGACTATCCGAGCCTTATGACACTTGATGGTTCCGTCTGGTCTAGTCTTGACCTTGTAGGTCTAGTTGTAGCTAATGGGGGTCTTTACCGGAGGAAGGGTAGTGAGATCCCATGTGTGTTTTGTAGAGCTGTAAGTTCGTCCTGCATTGCCTGTTGCCACTCAGGGTATTTGACTGTATCATGGTAAGAATGGGGTTCCACATAATCTGACGTCATCATTGTGGCTATGTGGAAAGCAATGAAGGTGAAGTGAGGGTCACAATATTTGGCTGGTGGCCGACAATCTTGGGAGGGATATCTTGTCTCAGGTGGGATGTCACTAGTAAGTGGTTCAGGTTCGGTTGAAGTTTGTGGAGAGGTTGATTGATCCAGTGTGGCGAAGGTAGGTGAGGACTTGTCACTTGCTCGGTGGGAGGAATAATTTCTGGACTTGGATCTGGATTGGGTTGTGGTGCTAGAGAGTTGGATGTGTCAAGTTCAAGGAAGATGAGGTCTGTGCATGTGGATGGTGGTGAAGGTACAAGTGGGGAGGGTAAAGCATAGTATGGAAGATGTTCAAAGAATGTGACATGAGGAGAGATGCGAAAGCGATTAGAATGAGGATCATAGTAGCGATAGTCTTTATGATGTAGACTGTATCTAAGGAATATGCACATAACAGATTGAGGTGAAAGTTTGTTGCGTTCTTAAGATTTGAGTTGGACAAAGCATGTGCAGCCAAAGACTCAAAGATGGGAATAGGTTGGTGGTTTTTAGTATAGTTGTTGAAAGGATGTGAGACCTTTCAGTGTAGTGGAAGGAGTGCGATTGATGAGATAAACACTCGTAAGGAGAGCTTCTGTCCAAAACTAAACAGGTACAGATGCATATAGTAAAAATAATCTGGTAGTTTCGAGGATGTGTCGGTGATGCCTTTCGGCTACACCGTTTTGTTGGTGATCATATGGGTAGGAGAATTTAGAGATTATTCACTGAAAGGCAAGGAATTTTGTGAAGCGATGAGATATATGTTCCCCCCGAGTCTGAGCGTAGGATTTTGATGTGGGAGGAGAATTGAGTGAGGATCATGGTGGCAAAGTTTCTATAGATGTCATATGCATCAGATTTATGTTTCATCAGGTAAACCCATGTAAAACGGGAGTGATCGTCAATGAATGTTATGTAGTAATGATTGTCACCACGAGATGGATGTGGAGATGGTCCTTAGATATCAGTATGAATGAGGTCAAAAGGAGTGGAAGCAATTTGATTGTTTGTTTGAAAAGGTTGGGCTAAGTGTTTTGCCAACTTGCAGTCGATACAAGGTGACAAAATATTAGTAGAAAAGTTTTATAATTTACCAGTTGTGGAAAGGGTACAAAGACGAGGTAAAGATAGATGATCAAGGTGACGATGCCAGAGGTCGCAAGTGGTTGGTTTAGAGTTAAGGAGGCGAATGACGGATGCAGTGGGAGTGGGGAGCAATATAGGCCACCAATATTATAATTTTGAGTTCTTTTGAATTGTAATTGACACAGATTACAACAAAAGAAAATATAATGAAATAAAGAAAATTTTATTTTTTCCTGGGGTTGCTTTCCGTGTGCCGGTGGAGCGTTGATCTTGTACTCCGTTGACTCATCGACTAAGACGATGGGTCTTTTTGGTGTAAATGAGGATCAGATTGCTTGGAAGCTAGCTCAGTCTCCTCTTAGCAATACTTCTCAATAGAATAGAAAATGTATGCTTCTGCACGTATATATCTCTATCCGTGTCTGTGTGTATATCTCTTTGTGTGTCCCCCATAAAGTGGATGATCTCCTCTCCTTTTATAGGCTAAAAGAGAGAGTTAATGGTCTCATTAAATGTGGATTAAGTGGACATTAAAGTAACAGTTAGTGGCGAGTGGT